TCAAGGAGACAAAGAAATGGAAAACCTGATGGTGAAGAAGTATGTGGATAGTTTGTGGCCAGCTATCATTTCCCTTCCATTTGCAATTAGTAAAGTTCAGAAAATACCCTCTTGTTATTCCTAGTAGCCTAGAAATAAGCACATAGTAAAGCAAACACTTCTAGAAAAATGTTGTATAATTTTAAAACTTATTTGTTTTTATTTATTTTGTGGTAAGGATATTGTTTTACTTTTATTGAAAACAACTAGAGAGGAAACAAGTAACTTCCAAGATTCCCTGCCTAAGGTGCCTAATTTCTTGTGCAACTCCTGTAATTTACATGGAAAATCTTACATATCAAAACAACCTTTAACTCCATAATTATGTGATTAGATATTTATCTTGTAGAGAACAACTGAGATGCCTGCACACAGCAACCATAATATTGGATATAATATTGAATTTTGAAATAGTATTAGTTTAAAACAACCTAGAATTCTCTTGGTAAATTTGGAACAGCCACAGAAGAAAATATTAGTTAGATATTAAAATTATAAGTTGAAATATTGTAGGTGTAAGAGTGGTCAAAGACACCACACACCCACACACAAAAAAGCCAGAGAATCAACTAACTTGGGCTCATAGGGACTCACAGAGATTGAGCCAACAACCAGGAAGCCTGCATTGGACTGACTTAGGCACTAGCATATATGTTACAGTTGTACAGCTTGGTCCTCTTGTGGGACTCCTAACAGAGGGAGCAGGGCTGTCTCTGACTCTTTTACTGGCTTTAGGGACCCTACTCCTCATATTGGGTTTCCTTGTTCAGTCTTAATACGTGAGAAGGTTCATATTCTTACTGCAACTTGATATGCTATGTTTTATTGATATATATGGGAGGCCTGCCCTTTCTTGGATGTAGAAGGAGGAGAAAAGGGTTGGGGGTGGAAACATAGGGGAAATGGGGAGAGGGACTGAAAGGGGAGAAGTGGGAGTCTGTAGCTAGGATGTAAAGTAAATAGATGAATTAATTTATTAAATTTATTGATAAAATATGTAAACAAAAGTGTTTTAATATATTAGTGAGGGGGGAAATCAAGTATTAAGACATTAATTATTTTTGGGACAAGGTCTCATTGTATATCCCTGGCTGGCCTGGAACTCACTGTATAGATAGATAAAGTTGTCCTTGAACTCACAGAGATCTGTTGGTCTCTGCTTCCCAAGTGCTACTGCATCATACTTGTTTTTTTTCTAATTCTACCTGGTTTAAGAAGAAAAAGAGGCTTGAGATAGAGTTCAGTAGTAGAACACTTGCTATCATACATAAGAGAAGAAAAAGAAAACAGAAAACAGAAGGTCTTGAATGCAGACAAACAGAACATTTCGGAAAGTGTTATGTCTGAGTAGTAGGATTATTGATAATTGCCCTTTTCCTCTGTGACCGTACAGTTGTAAAATTTTTCAAGATGAGTATATATTGCCTTTGAATTTAAATACCACACTCTGAAGATTCCATATTTAGTCTCACTCTATTTCTGTAACATGACTTTAAACATCTTAGCATATTTTTACATGCATAAGTGGAGCTTCTATGTGTATTTTGATATTTCATAAGGATATTGAAAATATTTCTGATTTCTTGGACTGGTCCCACTCAGACAAATCAGTTTCATGCTCAGTGCACATGGACACAGTTCTGACCTTTTTGGAAGGTATGAGTACAGTTTGATAGGTGTGAAGATGTCTTACCTAGCTCATCAAAGCTCAGAGCTTATGCCTGACATTCTACCACCAGAGAGCTATCCCTCAGGCTTATGGATTTTTTTACCCTATTAAAATGCAAATAACCAGGAAGAAGTATACATTAAACTTTATCTTCACATGTGTTAAATGAGTGTAACATATAAATTTTTGGAAATAGGTTTTAATGGAGAAGACATTGTGATTTGAAGAGAAACAGAGAGAAGAAAGTATGAATGAATATACGTGGTGTATGAGGCGTAATTAATATTCATATTAGTTATATTTTATTTATGGATTATGAGTCACTAAGGAGCATGTTATCACATTTAATCCTAATTAAATTAAATAGTCTGGCTGTTGTCAAGACAATTTTCCATCTACATAATTTTTCTAGCAGCATTACTAAAAGCCATAGTCCTATTCATGGATCAATATTCCTTTAACTTTCCCCCTTTATCTTCTAATCATGGGTGGTATTAAAAGATTATCTAAATAACTAGTGAGGATAGAACAAGTCAAGAAAATATGATTATTTCTTACTAATCCATTAGTCATGTATATATAACATTTTGTTGTCAAAGATAACGACCAACTGGAAACGAAAAAGAAAATAGCTAGTCAAATACTTTACAAAATATTTGTGAACATGAATCTTTTTGTTAGCTAATTGCGAAGAGAAAAGGCAGGAAAGGACAAAAATTATCAGTAAAAGAATCAGGACTGGTGATGTGACTCAGTGGGGAAGTGTTTGCTGTGCAAGCATGAGGCCCTGACTTCAGATTTCTAGCACCCACTCAAAAGCTGGGAACAGCGGTGTCTCTGTAACCTCAATGATATAGAGGTAAAGACAGGGATCTCTGGAGGTAGATAATTAGTCCCTTTAGCTGGATTGGTACACTTGCTTAAGGATCAGTGAGACATCCTGTCTCAAAAATAAAGTAGAGTGCAATAGAGAAAGCTATCCAGTATTGACTTCTGGTCTCCACATGCATGTGCATATCCATGTACATCCATACTTGCATGCACAAGTACATCAAGGAGTACTTATACCACATAGGCACACACAGACACACATAGGTACACTCATGTGAACATGCACAATCCCCCTCACCAGTTGTTTGAAGGGAGACCCGGCAGAATAACTAATATAAATAATATAGATTAAATAAAGCTTAAGTGTAATGGTTAAAAACAGAATCTGTAACCATCTTCTTAAGTTTGAATTCTGGCTTGCTTATATACTAGTTGTGTAAATGCAGATTTCTTAATGTCATCATTATTAAAAGGATTATAATACTAGAACCACCACATGAACTTGCTAAAAGAAACAAATCAAGTTTGCAAAATTGCAAATCACAAGTAACTGTATTAAGTGATGTTAAAACCACCTACATAATCATGTAGTACCAAAAATATAATACATCAATAAAAGGTATTATGGAGTAGAACTGTGGCTTTCAAGTACTTCAACACACACACACACACACACACACACACACACACACACACACACACACACACACACACCTAATTCTGTGGTGATACATTATTTGTGATTTATTACAGCTTGCCTGAAGGTCAGGGAAGCAAAGAAGCCAACTTACCAGAGTGCTTTTACCTCTAAAAGGTCTGTGGTATACCTATTCTCAATGTGGCTGGAGAATGAATTCCAGATATTGACTACTGAAGACCTTGCTCCTATCTTTTATACCCCTCTAGTGCTGGGATTAAAGGTGTGATATCCCAAGTGCTGAGATTATCTTTGTATGAGCTGTTTCTCTTTAAGACTGGGTCAATTTTGAGGAGATCTGGGTGGCCTTGGATTCACAGAGATCCATCTAGCTCTTAATCGTGAATACTAGGATTAAAACTGTGTACCACCACCTCTTAGCTTCTGGCTGCTGAGATTAAAGGTGCGTACCTGGCTTCTATAAATGTGAATAACTTTGCTTTCTGAATCCTCAGGCAAACTTTAATAAATCATAAATACATACCATAATTTCTATGGAAATATATATATTGTGCATTACAATGCAGATTCAGCTCTCTCTCCCTCTCTCTCTCCCTCTCTCTCTCTCTCTCTCTCTCTCTCTCTATATATATATATATATATATATATATATATAGTAATTTTCCATAGAAACATATATAACTTTAAAGATATTAAAATTTAACAAAATTTCATAAAACTAATAAGAAGAAAACAGGTGCTTGCCAATTAGATTTGCATTGTTATACAAATAGAATATTGCCATAAAACTTTTAGTAAACTAAAGCTGTCTTTCTTAGTATTAATTTCAAAACATGTAACTTTTATTGGTAACATAAATAATGTAATTGCTTACAAAATTCAATTAACAAATTATGAATGCTGGTAAATAAAAGGAACACTAAAAATGAAGCATAAAATGAAGCAAGGGATAATTAAGAAAAAAGTACAATTGGAGATGAGGGCTGCTGAGAGAGTTAAATAGCATAGAGTCTTGCACAAAAAAGGACTCTGTCACTTTCTGTCATTACCTCTTGCCCTCCTATTCAATAGGTTCTCACTATAGACCAGTATTTTCCAATAGGACAGTAGACATCTTTAAATTTTCTGTGCTTGTGCCACATGTAGCTGCATTTTCTGGTGTCATAATAAAAAATGGAGGTTTACTTTAATGGTAAATAGTATTTAGCCTAGAACTTCTGAAAAATATTATTTTAACCCATCAAATTGTGGTAAATAATGAAAATAATCAATTTAAAATAAAGAAGATAGTGACTTTTGTTAAGAACTATAGTTGGGTGTGGTGTCTCATCTCTGTAATTCTAGCACTTGAGAGGCTGAGACAAAAGGATAGTGAATTGGAGGTCAGTCTCACAAAAACAAAGGCTAGGAATTTAGCTTAGTGGTACAACACTTGCTTAGCACAAACAAAGCACTGAACTTTGCCTCTAGCACAGGAAAAAATAGACTTGTAAATAACATATATTGAGTGATGACATCATGATTACATAATGATCAGTTTTAGAAATTGTGTGGATATAGGCAATAATATTTAAAATATTAATGAAGTCAATATTGGAGAACATATTACAGGAAACGATTGTGTTTCAGATGGTGACTAGAGAAAATTATCTCATTAGGTCTTGGGTTCCACCAAGCTATAGTTCAGGACAAAATATGCCACTAGTGTATCTGACCGAGTTGCTTGTTAATTCAACTCCTTCTAATGTTTAGCTACCAAGACTCAATGAATAGGTTAATCAGTGAACAATGGAAATGACTTACTGGAAAGAAAGTGCTGGGATGCTGGGCCAAAGTCCCTGTGGGCTTCATGCAGCTGCCTGACACGATCCTCCACAGCCACCTGGGAGGAAAAAAAGAGTAATTGTATTTTCTTATCACTTTTAATGAGGAACAATTAAAACACTTTCCTTTATGGTAAGATGTTTTGGGTCTCTAAGGCTAAGAACAGCAACTCGACAATTCATAAGATTGGTTTTAATATGTCCTAACTGTAAATGGTCTCCCAGACTCATTTTTAGTAAACCAAGTTCAAACACAAAGACTATATTCTATTTTGAAGTTTGAAAATGATATTTTTATACTCCCTTCATTGAAAATCACCAATAAAGTTCATATTCTAATTTATTTTACAGAATGCTGGGAAAATTGTCACAAAATATTATAAAATGAGTACTGGTAGCATTTTGTAAATATATATTTCGCTTTGTGTCTTCAGTTGGTTATTTCTGACTAATGATTTCTGTTAAATTAATTTTAATAAATTATTACTAGTTATAGGGTTGTAGTTAATTCTTAACAATGAACAACCAAAGGTTGATGATAACGGTTAACCTGGCATTGATGCCACACACCTGAAATTTTAGCATTTGAAAGGCTGAAGCAAGAGAATCATGTATTAACATTATCTACAGCTACATAGAATGACCCTGTCTCACTTCAACAAATGATAACATAGAAAACTGAAACAAAAGTACAGTAAAATATTCAAGTTAAAGGTCAGGTGGTTGTGGTGAACACCTTTAATTCCAGCACTGAGGAGGCAGAGGAAGAAGATCCCTGTGAGTTCAAGGTCTGCCTAGTCTACAAAGCTATATAGAGAAACCCAGTTTCAAAAACCAAAATGAAAAATAAATTAAGTTAAAAATAGATGAGTTGGACACAGGAGGTAGAAGCAGGCAGATCTCTGAGTTCAAGGCCAGCCTGGTTTAGAAAAGCTAGTTCCAGGACAGCTTCCAAAGCCACAGAGCCACAGAGAAACCCCATCTCAAAAAAAAAAAAAACCCGAAACAAAACAAACAAACAAACAAATAAATAAAATAATTTTTTACAAAGGATGAGTAGAAGGGATAGCCCAGTCAATAAAGTGTCTTTAGTCACAAGTACAATTACTTGGGTTTGATGAGTTCTACAACCTAAGTCAGTGGTTCACAACCCCCTTTAATACAGTTCCTCATGTTGTGGTGACCCCCTTCCAACCATAAAATTATTCCATTACTACGTCAAAACTATAATTTTCCTACTTTTCTGAATCATAATGTAAATATCTGATATGCAGGCTAGCTGATATGTGACTCCTGTGAAAGAGTCATTAGACCCCTATAGGGGTCTCAACCCACAGGTTAAGAACTACTGACCTAATTAAAAGTACTGGATGTGGTGGCATATGCATATAATATTAGTGCAGGGGAGGAGAGGAGACAGCAGGAATATTCCCAGAGCTTTCTGGCCAGTCAATGCACTCTAATTGCTTTTTCCAGGCCAAGAATAACACTATCTCAGAGGACATAGTGTTCATGATGGTTACACCTGAGGTTGTTTTCAGGTTCCCACTTGTACATGTACCTAAACACACATTCATGTAGACAAACACACAACAAAAAAGCAGAAGCAAGGCTTGAAATTATGGTAACAGAGTTGGTGAAGAGATGAAAGAAATCTTCAGAGTTCATTTCTCAGTGTACTTAGAAATTAATAAGGAATATGCCCCAGACAACATGGAATAAATCTTGTCATTCTTTTTTTCTAATTAGATTTTCTGTAATATATTTTTACACACTCTGTGTTTAAGTTTACTGGATTCTGTTCTTGTGAGGGAAAGGGGGAGAACTTTCAGAAGGTGTGAAATGATATACTTATTCATCTGGCATTTCACCAACTCAGTATTAGTAGTGGCCCCAGGCATCCTCCTCAATAACTTTGGGTCTTAGTTTGGTTGTCAACAGCCCATGCAAAACAAGGAAATGTTCAAAGATTGCCCACAGGCACCAGAATTGAGGATCTTGTGCTGTAAATAAAGCAGTTCTCAAACTCATCAAATAGTCTGAACTAATGTCAGCCGTGACTTTCTAATATCAATGAAATACCTAATGTAGACATAAAATTTTATTTTACTGTTTCTTTTGCGTTGTCTATCTTTGATTGGAATACACTAAGCAGGGTTTCAAAACAATGCAGGATTTCCCTATTATACATAGGGAAGTAGATGAAACATTTTAGATGTTTGCCCAGCCATCAGCCATACCCTGTCTACTGAGTCTACCAAACAGCCAGCTGTCCTGCAAATATAAATATATATATATATATATATATATGTATATATATATATATATATGGGTTCATGTTGCCATTGTTCCTATCCAGAATGCTCTAACCACCTTTTGTCCCACTGATAGTATACTAGGGTTTATATGCTTAATTTTCTATTTCCTAGGTGAGAATTAATTGCTTCATCAGCATGCTCATAGGACATGGCTTATATGTGGAACATTTGTATAGTACCATCCAGTAATATGAGGAAATTAGTGTCTCCTAAAATAGAACCTGAACCTCTTGGTGATAGGGGCTTCTCCTTGCATGAATGTGTCTCCAATCCTCACTTTAACATTGACTCACTGAACCCTCTACAGAGGAGCTCATAGAAAATATTTGTTTAATGACTAATTGACAAAATAAATAGATAACATATCTATATTTGGGCATGGGGGCCAACAAGAGGGTGAGGGAGAGAGAACAAAAAAGAATACCCACCAATGCAGACTGTATATGTGTGATAGTCAGTTTTATTTGTAAATTTTACTGTTCTCAAAGTAGACATTATTAAAGTAGACATTATTTCTGAGTGTGTCTGTGAAGGTATTTAAAATAATTTAAAATACTAAATTTGCATTGGAATTTGTTGTTTCAGCAAAGTATATTGCCTTCCCCAATGTGGATATGCTTTATGTGTATCAGCTGAAGGCTAGAAAAAAGAAAACAAACAATAAAGGTAGTCTCTTCTTTGTTCTACTTCTTCTGGGACGTTGATCTGTCCCAGGATTGAGATTTACTATTTTGCTTTTGCACTAGTATCTGTTCTCCACCACCAGTTGTTCTGGATCACTAGCATGCTGACACAAAGTCACTGACCTTCTTAGTTTCTGTAGTCTTATGAACTAAGACCTTCCAAGCAAATCTGTCTATCCCCGGCTCTTTCTTCGTCCTGCCCCTCTCATACCTACCATCCATCTCTCTCCTCCTCCTACTGGGGTCCTAGGGAATCCTAACAAGTATATAGTCACTATAAATTATTGCTTTATGGTTAATAAATGGAGAGGAATAGGGTATAAGGAGCAGGGTACCATACACAAAATAAAATGGCTAACATGTTTAATGATATGTATACAGCAATACAATTTGACATTCAATCTTTATAATAACTCTACAACAAGTACTATTACTCTTTAATTTTATTGACAGAAACTGAGGCATGCAGTTTTAAAAAGAGACTGTCTTGACTCTGAGTTCCTGCCAGCAAGATCCTTGACCCCCAAAGCAGGGCTACTGCTAAAGAAAGAGGCCTCAGCTGGAGAGTGCCAGTTTCCAGTGATATCTGACTATCCTGTAGAAATTTCCCAAGTATCAGCTCAGCCTTTGTCCTCTTCCGCCAGCCATTGGCTAGAAGTGAGTCTGGGCCCAATAGGGGCAGCCTCTCCCCTACAAACTCTCCCCCTACCCAAACTCCCTGGGTAGGCCCCTGATCCTGCTGCTCCTGTATCCTGTCCCCATCTAGAGCACCCTTGGAACTCTGATACACCCCCATCCATCAACACAGCAAGCCTGCCCCTCCTCACCCTGTGCCCTACACTGCCCACTGTCCCGCTGCTCTGGTTGAGCACCTGGACAGAGGGGGGAGCAAACAGTCCACCCTACTTCGGTGACTTCTTAGAGCAACTCTGAGCAAAGGAGACCTGCCTATCCACGCAGTAACACCAGTAATTTCCACCAGCTTGGTCTCTGACCCCACCTCCAGTACTCTGCTGGAGTCCGGGGCCCCTCCCAGAGATCCGCCTATCTCTGTGGGTCCACTCTGAGTTTCTGCAGGCATCTTCTACTGGAACCTCAGCCCTGACCCCATCCCTGGGTCCCTGTCTGCTGAGAAACCTCCTAGAGAGCTTGGACCACACAGAGCTACAGATATTGAATCTCTAACCCACATAAGCCCACCGGGGAAGTACCATAGAGAGAAGGGGAGACCACACCAACACCTACTGGAAGAAGCTATTGGAAGATGGCAATACAAGAAAACACCTAACAACTGAAAGACAAGCATAACTCCACGAGAATCTAGGGAATCTACACCAACTAGAATGGAACACAACAACAAAGCAGAGGAAGCAGAAGGGAACGACTTAAAAATTACATAAAAATGATAGAGGCCCTCAAAGAAGATGCGAGAAAATCCCTTAAAGAAATGGAGAAAAAAAAAAAACAAACAAAAAAGTGGAAGAAATGAACAAATTCCTTAAGGAAAGTATAGAAAGTACAGAAAGCCAAGAAAAAACAATTAAGCAGGTGAAGGAAACAGTTCAAGACTTGAAAACTGAAATAGAGAAAATAAAGGCAACACAAACCAAAGGATGCTGGAAATAGAAAAACTGGGCAAAAAATCAGGAACTACACATGTAAGCATAACCAACAGAATTCAAGAGATGGAAGAGAGAATCTCAGGCGCAGAAGATAAACTAGAAGAAACAGATTCATCGACCAAAGAAAATCATAAATCCAACAAATCCTTAACACAAAACATCCAGGAAATGTGGGACACCATGAAAAGGCCAAACCTAAGATTAATAGGCATATAGGAAGGTGAGGAAGCCCAGCTCAAAGGTGCCGAAAACATATTCAACAAAATCATCAAGGAAAACTTTCCCAATCTTAAGAAAGACATGCCCACATCCCGAATGAGGTAACCCAGTCACTAAAAGAGGAACATAGTATGTACTCACTCATATATGGATTTTAGACCTAGAGCAAAGGATCACCAGCCTATAATTCACACCACCAGAGGAACTAGGATACAAG